GTATCGCATCGAAAACGGTATGTATGTAGGCAAGAGCATTGTAGGCACGGGGTGGAATTCAGGCAAAAAGTGAATACGGTAGCACAGTACTGTACGTGTGCAGGACATTCTTAGCAGCACTGTGCTGAACTATTGCTGAAAGAAGAGTCCTGTTGAGTAGGCTGATTGACCAGGGAAGTAGGGCGTCGGCATCAGCTTCATGTCGTACATCGGCGCCGTCTTCATACTGCCCCACGTGTTCGGATCTTCGGTCTGAAACGGAGTGAGATTTCAGTTAATTATGAAAAGTGCCTGTTTTAAGGGCCTTGGTTAGTACCGAGGCCACGGCACCTTCTAGACAAGTTTACAGTATCGCTGGTAGAATCTCATCGGGGAGGGGGGGGGGCGTCAGTGGCGAGAAGGGGTAGTGTTAGATCGGTAGGAACGTTCCCTCATTGTTGGTAGTGCCGTAGAACTACCGCTTCTGATGGCTCATTTTACAGTTGCTTGACTCCCCCATCCCCGCTTCACCCCAATTTTTCTCTTCTAGAAAGTCATTACAATCAATTTTCCACATGATTTTTTCGAATTTTGCGCTGATTTTTTGAGCAATTATTGATTGGTTGCGCTTTTCAAGGCTGAATAGTCGATCAAACCGACTTTGTAAACCTCTTACATTGCCGAGCAGTTGAAGGAGTAGAACAGCCTTTTGGGGTCAATGACCTGGACTAAATGAGGCGGAGGGAAGCGCCGGACCTCAGCATTCAAGTCTAATTTACCGAACTGCCTTTATCCTTTACATTACTTACCTACTGGCTCACAGACTAGCTAAAAAGCACTTTAGTAAGCAGGCCCAGACCCTCCGGTTGGGTCCTGGCTGATCAAATCGTGCCAAGGTTGGGACAACTTTATCCCCTTCCTGATGTAAGGGTTAAGGGCGTTATCACTTGTCGCTCCTGCTAGCTTCTAGTCCCAAATACTGGCACAGTTCGGCAACGGGGGGAGGGAATTCTGCACAGTCGCTGCTTCACTACTTCCGGTCACAGGTCTCACTCTGATGAAACCTGTGAACTCTTGTGAAGTCTGGAGCAAGCTCGTGGAGCCACCATGGTAAAACCTGTCAAATCTTGTGAACTCAGGAAATGGTTCCCTCGGTCGATGTACACGTCTGAGGATAAGGAGCAGAAGTGCAAATGCCCCTCCCCCGTCGCCAGCTTGCTCCGAAAATTCGCTGAAACGTTGCCTATAGATGTAATTCGATGCGCTGATCACGAATATAACATCCGTTTTGAGCGCTGGCGTCATTTGGCGCCATTATGCGCCAATTTGGCGCCCACCACTTTTTTCACCAAAGTCGATGAAAACTTGTATATGGGGATTCATTGAGGTCCTCATTACGAATCCAACATATATTT